ATGTTGAACTATTTATTATGTTGTTGGTGCAACTGGCACTTTATGTTGAACTGTTTATTGTTTTGGCCAAGGTTATTGAGAGAGTTGGACTGAAATTGATTAGATTTTTTAAATCAACAAAGTCTGTTATGGCCTCTGAAGCAACAGAGAGATGTTTTCTAATAGTCAGGGTTTCCAATGTTCTGAATGTACTTGAAAGTATTGTGTTATACTTAAAAAACAAAGTGTTATAGTTTACAGAAGGTCTACCTACCTATAGGCTACCTGAATCTCTGAAATGTACTATATTCCTAAATATGCTATTGCTACACTTTATGGCAAAAATTGCACTTTTCTGTTGGTCTTGGTTAAATACATCCTTGAAAAAAATAAACAATGTTTTGTTGCTTAAGCTTATGTATTCAGTCATTATTCAATGGTATACTAAAATCCATGTGAAAAAAATTGCTTCTCACTGTTCTCAGGTCAAATATTTATATGTGATTAAAAATGCGATTAATTGCGATTAATTAATTACAAAGCCTGTAATTAATTAGATTAATTTTTTTAATCGAGTCCCGGCCCTAGTATTTTGCTAAAAGGAACTTCGATGACAGTTTAGAAGGGCTTGTCTTACTAGCTACTTCCTTAAAATGTCTAAATGTTGTGTTAGAAGTGCCATTTGTACATTACTTACGCATTCTTCCTTTCGAGATTCTGCAGGTTTCCCTTCAGGTTGTTATAAGCCGATGCTCTGGACTTCAAGTCATTGTCAATCTGGGAGACTTGCTGTTAGGGAGGAAAGATGTGTTTGAATGAGTTATGACTGACTAATACAAAACACATGCTGTTCAAAGAGGCACAACTCCTCAAATAATATCCCTAATAAGTGTAAAGTGATAATAATCAGGTTACATTTATTTTCTTCTTAACTAAATCCACTTCCTTCTAGAATAGAACTCTTCCGTTGCAACATACATATGTGGTTAGAGCAAATAGTTGTATGACAAAGTTACATTTGGTTATTAAAAAGCTACACACAAACACATAATGATTGAGCAGCATATTCTTTTTAAATAATAACGTGTAATGAGATGTTGAGAATGATTTCTCATCATCATTATTCAATACATTTTGGACCTGGAGTTATGCTAATTATCCAATCAAATCAGTCAGACAAATCCTACAAAGTCACCACTGGAATCTAATTCTACAAATGCCATTACACTGATAATATTAGTTGAGCTTAATATGTATCTGCCATATGAATTTGTTGATTTAGGATCATAATAATATATTTAAACTAAGTCAGAGACCTACCTTTGAGATGATTTCAGAGATGTTTTTAAGTGACTGTTTGATGGGATATTTTGCCATGTCCCATTGAAATCTTGTGATGTAGGTGACAAGATCAACTGAAAAAAAGACAACAAAGGAGTTTCAGTCTATGCTTTTATCAGACAGCTGGGTAGGGATAACATTTTATAACAAATCTGATCTGTCAGATAGTTGGTGTTTTCTAATATTGTTAAGACATTTAAGAGCGTGTGCTTTAAGCTCTTATCAGTATTGCACAGCTAACCTTGCGTTGCATTATCAGACAACTTTTTGGGACTAAATAATGTGGAATAAATCATGTGGACAAAATGTTCGGTAACCATCACGGTACCTCCGTTGGCCAGCAGGTTCTCCTGAACTTTGTCCCGACTGTCTTCCAGCACGTCGGCCATGTACTGAGCAACCTTCTTCACCACACTGTGAACAGCCAGGAGACATGAAAACACGCCGTGCCAACACACACAGCACGCACAGAGCCAGCGTAGACCACACAGTCGCTCTGCACCACCTCATCACACACATACACACACATCAAAACCGTTCACATATTCCTGTTAAGGTAACTTCCTGACAAGGCTATTTATAATATGGCAGACCTGCACAGTTCAGGGTTTTTATCCACACTCTTCCGCAGCACATCAAAGCAACTGTGTCTACAGATGTGAAGCCAAAAACACAGAGCCAAGTCACATCTCAGGCCTAAAAAGTTCTTAAGAACATCTGCCGCTTAGGCTACATTTTTCTATCAAATCTATAAAAAAAAGAAAATGTAATTGTATATATTAAGGACACAAAAATAACCTAAATTATACCAATTAGGGCAGCCTGATTATTGTGATTATTTTGACTGATGTCTAAAATACAATATGATTCGCAATATTGGAGGGATTCATCTTTTTTTTTAAACAATATTGCATAATTATGGTATACAATTATAATTTATTTTCTTTATTATTTATTGTGTTTTTTTTCTTTAGTCTGTAGAATACACTTTGTAGACTGGGACTTCTCTGCAGCACCACAATACTTCATTCAAGTATTCATCTTTTGTACTTTACTAAATATTGAGATGACAGCATTTTGGATATTGCACTAGATTAATGTGCATAAATATTAATGGGAATAAATGTAAGAAATTATTAGTTGTGGTATTTTTTTTTCTCAGACATGTTTTATTGAAACTTCCAAAAAGAGACTACATTGATGACAGGCTGTATTCAGATAAGTGAAACCGGTTGGACTGCTACTCTTTCTCACCCTCTTGGAGATCGCTACAGCAAAGCCAAGCTCAGGCAGTGTTGGCTATGTGTGAGCGTTTGATGTCAATGTTTTCAAAACGCTATAAATTACACTCAAACATACATGCAGCACATAAGTCACTGGGTAGAAATATGACTCAAGAAAGACCTGCTGGTGTGTCACCCAACTGTAAATTGCCAAGTTTAGACTGCGAGGCCCGCTAGCCTCAGGTCTCTGTGAAATTCCTCATCGTTACAAGGTGAGGGAAGGGATTAGGAAAAGGAAAAGCGGGTACATCAGAGAGCGCTGCACAGGAGAGGAGGTTTGTTTCATGTCCTATCAAATGCAGGCCTTATTCATAATGATGAGCTGAAAGATTTGGACAAAATATCTATAACGGATTATTTCACTGATGTTACAATTGCAATATGATTCAGGATATTGGAGGGAAAGATCATTTTTGCATTATTGTTTTATTTTTCCAAATTAAAATATGTAATAAACTGATCATAGGGTGATGTTTTGTCAGGATCCATACCAAACTTAAATCTGTAAAATATGAGTAGTAGGGGGGGATATTTCTGTAGCACTAAAATACGTAAAGGGGCCCCATTATGCTATGGGGGGTTTTCCCTTTCCTGTAGTTTGTTATATAGGTTTCTGTGCATGTAAAAGGTCTGACAAGGATCAAATTCCAAAGTTCCCTCCAGAGAGAGTTTCTCTCCCACACAAAAATGGTTTGTTAGCACATATTTAGCTTTTTCTATGAGTTGGATATTGCAGTAGTCCTTATTGGGATTTTAATTAAATTACTATAAATTGTTCAGCCCGAGAGTATATCAATAGGCATTCTCCAGTCAGAATACAGCAGGTAGCTTACCTATCCACAAAGGAGTCTAATTTGGCCAGTTCATCCGACAGCCCAACCAAGACATCTAGGGTCCCCACCTGTTTGTGAACACATAAAGTGAAACATCAGCACATCATGACTTTCATCAGTCATGAGATTTGTGTCGTTTTGAAGCGGGGTCAACCAGGGTTTTGTTTTAACAGTGAAATCTGAGGTTCGCACCGCCTACAGTCACATCCCGGGGGCCCAATGTTTTTATGATGGCACCTCTTTTCCAGAGCCACTGATGCATCGCTAGCAGTTCTAGGAGAACGTTACTGGCCCGTGTGGCTGCGAGGTCAGTGGGGTTACTTCACCTTCTGCACGGAGAGGAATCAAACCATAGGAGAGGAGCTGCTCTACGGATGAAAACTTTACCAGACTAACACTTCATCTTGCAGGCAACGGATCTGTGTCAAGACTGCTTCCCATTCACACAGTCAGCTTATTCTTGACAGTGATATATAAGGTGAGTCATTTATATATAACTTTAAATGTATAACAACCATTACTTTTTTTTAAAGGGATGAAAGATCACTATGACTCCTGCAAGAAATAAAATGACGTGCATATTTAACTATTCAAGTCCATAGATGCAAAGTAATTGTGTACTTCAGCATGTGAAAGAAAGTGTGAAATTGTGATGAATCCATTCTAACCTTGAGGTCAGGGATGTTGAACTTGTGGTTGGTGGACAGGTTGTTGTTACGTGTGGTGGCTGCCATCATTTGATCCCATGTCTGCTGGCAGGTCTTCTCTCCCGGGGCAGAGATCAACCAAAACTCAGTCATGGTTACAGATCTGGTGCAGCTAGAGGAAACTGAGAGCAAAACTGAAACTCAGACTTATGTGCTGTGCAAAAGTTAATACAACATTGAGAACCAGTTAGATTGTTTTCTTGTCAACAGCACTGATTAGCCTACAGAACAGGTAGCACTGTATTTCCATAGCTTAGCTACATTTTAGCACTGACGGTGTTTACCACTAAGCAAGCTAAGATAGTTATGCTACACTAGCAACAGACGCTCATTCGTGTTTTAACAGACTCTACTATTTTGCCAACACAAATGTCAATTTCCTGACTGCTTACTAATGTTACAGAGCCATTATATGACTTTAACATGAGTGTATACAAACCGAAGCTAGCAAAAAGATGGTTAAGGTCAGGCAACAGGGATTGGCTACCGTTAGTCACTTAGCTCTGCTCACAACAACACCAATACAGCGTCACTACTTTGCTCACCTGTTAAAAGAAAATATGTCCGCTAACAGTGGGAAAATATAGCTGTGAATAGCGTTTCTATGGCTCGATAATTTTCATAGTTGCCATTCAATAGAGTTGTTGAGGTCTCCTGACAGCAGCATCAGAGTCAGCTGATCTAAGAGGAACCGGAAGGCCTCTCACTCTGCTGACACCTCAGCAGCGAACACAGCTGGTGGACAGCGGGTACTGCAGGCAAGGCCACCTGACATCGTGACAGTAATTCTTCTTCCTGTGAGTGGGTTCGATGTTCAGGTTTGAAGCACTTGAGCAGGGCAGATGCTCGTATATCAGATTGTCCAGATTCTCTCTGAGTGACTAGATGGGGTGTCCTGCTATCACCCTGAAATTAAATAAGTCTTTGATACTGGATAGTTTTTATTTCATTATTTTCTAAAAACAGAGGGATGATAGCTCATATATGAGACTTCAAAGGTATCTTATTTTGAAACTCTACATCAGATTGTCCTGATTCTATCTGAGTGACTAGATGGGGTGTCCTGCTATCACCCTGGAGTGAAATAATTCTTTGATAAGTTGACAGATTTTTATTCATAGAAGGACGATAGCCCATATATGAGATTTCAAAAGTATTTTATTTTGAAATTCTACATCAGATTGTCCTGATTTTCTCTGATTGACTAGATGGGGTCTCCTGCCATCACCCTGAAGTGAAATAGGTATTTGATTGACTTCGAATGACTCTTTGATTATGGACGGTTTCCATTAAATAATAATCAAAATATAGATGGACAATAGATCTAATTTGAGATTTTAAACAGCATACATTTTAAATTGTGCTTCAGAAAGTAATGTTATTTTAGGAGTGTTGTGAGATGGTGTCAACATCAATTGAAATTAGTCACCCAGTGGAAATGTCAGATATGTCTTCATAACTGTATTACATTTTACATTCACTCAGTTATAATGTGGTAGTTATACGTAGTTTGTTTTAAATTATTATTGATCACATTATATAGTACATATTTCTTAATTTAAGCTCCAGTATATATGAATATGTTTGGTGTGTTTTTTAGGTATATTTGTTATTGACCTAGTAAACGCTTTTATTTTGAAGGCAGTTTTTACAGGCCTCTACCGTAATCCATAGGATATTCGCGCACCGCAATACAAAGTGCTTTTGACTGTGTTTTCCAAAGTGGGGGCTGGCTTGACCACAGTCTGTTTACCCAGTGTTTGCTGACATGAAACGTTTTATTTCACCTTGCTATGTGTTTTTAACGTATATTAAAGAACGGGGATATTTCCGGGGACAGTTTCAACCGGGGACAGGCCAATACAAACAGGGACTGTCCCCGGAAAACGGGGACGTCTGGTCACCCTAGGTCAGTGGTTCTCAAACTTTTTCTGTCATTCCCCACTTTGAACAGGTGGGC